GTTTAGTAGTGTTTCAATTGTTAGTTACACCCTGGATGATTATGTTGAGAAGAATTCTTGGGCTCATCCAGACACACAGAGATGATCTGTTTGATTTCTGCTGTCTGTCCTGCATGTGGGTGGAGAGAGCAGCAGTAAGCTTTCTACATATTTTAGATCTTTGATTTCTAAGCTCCAGGGCCCCAGAGACTACTTCCCATCCAAAATTATAGCCTTAAAACCTGTATCTGGTACATAATACAATGTTTTTTAAGGACTAGTGTTCTGTGGAAATATTTCAGGACAATTAAAATATGACAGATTATACAAATAGCATCTCTGTTTCTGATGTGCCTCTCGGATAAGTGAAAGAAAAACATCTATGGATAACTTTCTAAGAGAGAAGTACAGTTCTGTTAACTTTTAAAAATAGGGATACATGTTTTGTTTGTCCTGCTTAATGCAACTTTTAATATGGCATGATAATGCATGCACAAGGTACTTAAGTGTGAGAAAATTACATGTCATTTTATGGCTGATAAATTCAGGAAGCAATGAAATATTAATACTTGTTGCCTCAAAACTGTTCATATTACCTAATGCCCAAGAGGGCTTTTTATACGATACTGGGGATATTGAATTTCTAAGTGTGAGGTGTGATTTCTGTCTGAGAGTGAGGCTATCCAAAAGTGTACTGACTGTGCTACTGATATAATCTCAGGATATCAGGTACCCCTTGGGGTTTGCATAAATTATACTGAAACTTTGAGATTATATATGAAATAAGTTGGTTTATATGCTCAACCAGAGTTAACATCTCTATCTCTCCATCTGTGTACCTGTGTGTCTGTCTCTACCTCCTTTTTACTACTTTTCCCCTCTATATCCACTTGCACACATACCATAAACACACACAATTTGACTAGAAAAATACGGTAATGGTGGTATGTTTTTACATAGGTAGAAAGAGAGATAGAGGTAGAGATATATGTCTCACATTATATATGCCACTCCAAAAGGTTATTGAAAAATGAAAATGTTACTTGAACATATTTCTTCCAACCTGTGTATTGTGTGGTTTTTTAAATTGTTTTTATTTTTTCGTTATGCTTTGTTTTATTTGTAGGTTTAATTAAGTGAATTTGTTTCTTTTAATTTGCTATCAACATGGAACCAAAAGGAAAATATATAATTCCTTTATTCTAATGACTAGGTGTTAAGTAAAAGAAAATTTCACTGTATATGATAGCTTTTAAATATTGGCACAACTAGAATGATTTTTTTTCCTTTAAGTAAATGTTTAGAGTCTGGAAGATAGCTATCTCCTAGGTTATTATTATTAATGTAATTCTGTTTGTGATTCCTAAACTCTTGACAGCATTGTTTCAAAATAAGCCACTATATGTAATCTCAATAAATCTATATTTAAGACCTGAATGTTACCTTATGAAGTAATACTATTTGTGTGATAGTATCTTAGAATTCCTGTATAGTAATAATAGTGACTGAAGGATAATTTCTATTTTTAATAGGTTCTAGACTTTATGGGATTGAAGGTGAATAATGAAAAATGAGATAACTTTGGTAAAATATAATCTTGTTAAACAGATGTTAGGAGATTTTTTAAAATTGGTTTCTGGAGTCCAACAATTCTTAGTGCTTGAGTATCTTTGTATAACATTTATTCACTAATCAAAAACCTGATTTGTGGAAGCTTGTAATTTTAGTAGTATTGTTTCATTAACTAGGATGACACAATTCAATTTACAATTATGTGACTTAAAATCAATTCAATTTATGTTATATTACTTACCACTAATAACTGAAAATGTACAACAAAACCTTTAAAACACCTTTTAGAGTTTATATTCCTTTGCAAAGAAAAAAAATGTGCAGTTACTATTTTAGCGTCAAGTTCTTAAGACAAAATTACAGTCAAAACTATTAAACTAAACTACTACATTAGAGTTGAAACTAGTAAGAGCAAGTAATTCAAAACAGTGGCTCAAAAGGGGGAATAGTAGACTTTGTTTGCCACTCAAGCTCTTTCATGCCCCCTGAGCACAGTGGCTCCATCTCCTGTCCTCTCTTCTCACTCTGTATCACCCTTAGAAATGGCCTTATGGTACCTGTTTACAGAGCTGTCTTCCTGACTCAGAGCCATACCTTGCCAGGCATGTGGAAGGTTCTTACTAATTATGTATCTAATGAACAAGATTAATGAACAGTAACTACTCTGTGCTGATGGTAGAACTTTAGTTTAGATTTCAAAGTTGATATGAAGACTGCCTCCACATTTTGTCAGTCTTTAAACTCCTGTCATTTTGAAGTATCTATAAATATATTCAAAATCAATTTTTTTTAGAAACATAATTTTTCATAGTTTAACTCAATCACCCAAAATACTGGTTTAAAGTAAAAATGGATCCCTGTGATAACTTCTCTTCTCTTTAAGTCTCATTTGCTTAATATAGAAGAGTTCTGTATTTCCTTTTTCTTTTTCTGTATAGTATTAATACTGATATTTAAATCTGAAGAAATCTATAAATATTGTTCTTAATTTTTTTCTGAAGTGTGATTAAATCTGACCATAATATAAAACAGAAAAGTATAGTATCTGACATATTTAAAGGACTCAAAGAAATACTAATCTAGACTACAGACCAAATAAAATGAGCTAAAGATTCAACCAACTGAGAGATCATGGACATAAATTCTTTGTATAATTTATTTTCAGTCTGATGATACAAAGTGGTTTTTTGTGAAATTGCTATACTATTCAAGAATCAGCAAGTATAGAGCTGCAGTTTTGTAAGATGAAAGGACTCTGGAGATTTCTTGCAGAAAGTGAATATACATGATAATACTAAACTGTATTAGCTTAAAATAGCTAAGGAGGTAAATTTTACATTATGTGTATTTTACCACAATTAAAAGTAATAATAAAAAAGAATCAGCAAGAAAGAAGTGAGAGGATACCTTGAGCTCCTAAGCTCAAATATGAAGCGAAAGTTTCATGAGTACGGGATGCCATTTTTAAAATGGAAATAAAAAAAAAACGCTCAGTTCAGGAATTTTGCTTCCAGTAGTTAAAGCAAACAAACAATAAAAAAAAAAATAACATAATGACATTTTCAGATTTCCTGCCAGCTGCTGTGTTTTATCTTTACTATTGGCTTATTCGTTTATTTAGGACTTCATGATTCTAGGTTGATGATTGACTGTAGTCAGTTGGCCTGTGCATGCCCCATTTTGATTTATTTATTAACTGACTTACACAACTTAGTTGTTTTTAATGATGGATTAAACACCTGAAAATGTACCATCCAGAAAGAAAGTTAAGCTCTGGTAGATATCCTGTTTCTTATCACCAATTCCACCCTTTTCTTTTTCCCAATCTTGGATAACCATCTTCCCGAACTGTACATTCTTTACTCTCTTGCTTTTCTTTCTACATATTTAATGCATCTGTATAAATGCCTAAAAAGTGCCTATTTTATTTTAATTGTTTTTAATATTATTCTGAGGGCATCTCTCTGTAATTTTGGGGACTATACTTTTTTCACCTAATAATGAATTGTTAAGTTCCATCCATATTGCTTTTCTATTACTGTCATCCATTCATGCTTACTGCTGGCTACTATTCAAAATTGTGTGAAAGTACAATTGCAAGGATTTGAACCATTTCTGAATACACAGCACGTTTAGGTCCTTATGAGCCATACATTTCAAGGTTAGCTCATCCCTCGAGCCTACTGCTGCCTCAGCTAATCTGCTCATGTACATTTTGGATTACAATTTGTAGGTTATTAATATATGCTGTAAACAACTTTGCTTCATTTAAAAATTTCAATTATTTCATTGCATTTGTCTGTTAAGAGAGCTTGGTGTTATTTTCTGTTCTTTATTCAGAGACATAAAATCTTAAATTTCACTATGAAGATAATATCATATAAACATTAGTGACATAAGTCATTTGTTCATTCCAGGCTTAACAAATCTCTCAGTGTATTCCCTCAGGATATTTTCCTTTTTCCTCACCTATTAAAATATTTTCTGCTAACATTGGTGAAAAACACAATTAAAAGTTTGTAAGGAACTTTTGGCATACACATTACAAGCACTCGTAACCAGAGAACATTTCTTTCCATAGTAATGTAGTAATATAACTGAACCTTTATTGCAAAAACTTCCTAACAGAATTCCTTAAGTTTGTTAAAAAACAAACAAAACAGAAACTCTGTGATAAATTGAAGAGTGTTAAAATGTGATTAAAAGCTACCATTGAATGAGTTTGCTGCTTGTCCTTAAGCATTTGCCCAAATTACATTATGTAGTGGTTGAGATCCCTGGTTCAGGAGACAGACTTTGGTCATATTTTGGCTCTGCTGCAAACTAACTTAGTGGGCCTTGGTGTTAGTTATCTGCTGTTTTAAGTTCTCTGACCTGAAAATGGGAAGAGGAAGTATAGCCATCTCATAGGGTCATTTGAGATTTAAATAAGATAATGCTTATAAAATGTTTAATTGACATGCATTCGAGCTACATATATGTGAAATATTGCTAATAAACTTACACTGGTTTTTGACTTGGAGTGATAATTTGTGCTACTGACAAAGAGTTGTTTCCCACACCTAATTGTACATATTTATAATGCCCTAGCACTCTAAGTCTTCATAGAAAAACAGGGTAAATAGAATCTCTCACTTAAGCAAATGCTAACCTGAAATTTTATTGATATCACAGGATTTATGGACTTCTTGACATAATTTACTCATAATTAAATATATTTAAGAAGAAATTACAAGATTAACAAATAAAAATGAGTAATTCTACAGCTTTTTCTTAGGAACTTTTTAAGTTGGCTTTAGAAAATATTTAAACCTCAAAATCCTTACTTCGTTTCAACAATATGTTCTTGGTTTGATGTCTACTCTTCACTTTCACAGTCATTTCCCGTAATTAGAATTGGAGGATGTTTTAGATATTCAGATTCTGACACACCTTGAAATGTTTTACAGATATATTGGCCTGCTGCAAAGGAACGGGTGGAATTATGTAAATTAGCTGGGAAAGATGCCAATGTAAGTATAAGACTAAAAAAAATTTTTTTGTTAGACTTGTACTGATGTGATAGTAAATATTTATATTGGTTATTATTGAATTAATGACATTAGTGTAATGTTTTTAAGACCACACCAACATTCTGCATAGAGATCATATGGTTAAAATATCTTGCCAAGAGGAATGGCATTATTCTTAGAAATTTAGAAGTACTTAACTTTCTAATGTATTGATTCTGAATATTATTTTCTTCACAAAAAATCTCAGAAATACATTTAAAATAGTCAAAAATAAATCATCAGAAATAGGCATTTCTAGGCTTGTGTAGTGTCCATTTATAGACATGTATTTTGTGAATGTACACAAAATCATTAGTTGTTTTAGCATTACAAACAATTGATACTTAATTTGAAATTAAACTTACATCTAAAAGAATTTCAAAAGTTGACATTATAGTGATGATAAGAAGGATTGGTTGAAAATGAATGACACAACATTCTGGAATAAGAATTTACTCTAAAATGTACTTAAGCATAAGTATATGAAATAAACAGTGGGATCCTAATACACACTTCTAGTTTAAGCTGCTTTAAGGACCAAAGATCACCCTTGGACAGGTGTGACTAACTGAACCGTCTTTGGGGAATGCTGTCTGGATCGCTCCTGCATAGCCCAAGTCGTCCTCTGTGTTCCCCCAACGTGGGTTGCCTGCATCTCCAGCAATGACTGAAGAGGGGTGTAGCTCTGCCTGCCTCTTCTCTTCATCTGAGTGTTCTGATTCAGGCCAGATGCTCTGTGCTCTGCCCTGACTTCTTGCACTGTGCTGATAGGGAGCCTTGCTTTTTTTGGCAAAATAAATCACTTCCTGAATGTAATTCAAGATGAAAAGAGACTCTAACTTGGGGCAGCAACATGACATTGTGAGGCTTCTTTTGCAACACCCTCTAATGTTGCTTCTGAATATGGTAAGCCAGGAGTATTAAGCTGAGTGATGCCTTCCTATTTAACAGCAACAGGTGCCAGGTCTGCAAAACCATCAATACTCTTTTTAACTTGCAGGGGGTGGGGGGGGGGGAAGATGCTTTGCTTATGAAAGCTTCCCAAATTACTTTGTTGAATAACAGTGGAAGCATGTCATAAACAGTGTGAACACTTTAATGTGTGTTTTGTGTTCCATCAGTATTAAGTTTATTTTAATGAGGCAAGTAGGAAAAGGTTGTTTCAAAATTACTGCAATAAACGAATGGCAGTTTTCTCATGGAGTAGATGAGAGATGAACACCCAAGGTCAAACAGTCAGTGGAGGTTTTAATTGTGACAGTGTTCTAATTTCACTACGTTCACTAATTCCAGTTATATAGTAACTTAGTTGCCCCTATTATTAAATAAAAACAAAGGGTAATCAACTTTCCTTGAGGTGGTATCCTAGAGAATGTAGGACTCAGTATATGGAACCTATTCTTCCAATTCACTTGTATTTGGGAGCTGGCAATCACCTCTAACCTTTAAGCACACCTACTGCTAAACCAGGATTAGAGATTTGGGGCACATCTCCCTGTTTACTGATGTCTGTAAAGTTTGATGTTGAATCATGTAGGAATAATACAAGTCTTTGTTTCCTCTTTAGTTTGTCCCTTTACAATAATATTATATTTTGGAATTACTAAGAATAGCTAACATTTTTATAGCACTTACCATGTTTCAGAAACTGTTTTCAGTGTTTTATATTTATAATCTCATTTCATTTACAATAATACTGTATGCTAGATTTTACTATTATTGCTCATTTTTCAGATGAGAAGACTGAGGCCAGAAAAATTAAATGGTTTGCCCATTATCACATATCTAGTAAATAGTGAAGCCAGGAATTGAATCTAAAAGTCTTACCCCACGATCTATGCTGTTACACCACACCATAATCCCATAAATGTCTGAACTCTCCATGTAAGGTCTCAAAACCATATCTCTCAAATCATCTCTTTTCAATATCACCGTAATATAACTTCTCATTTTATAGTGTCACGTAGCTATCAGCCAATAGAAAACTGAGGCAAGTGTGTGGTTTTATTGATACCATTTATTACCTTTGGCATTACCCTTTTTCCTCCCTTCTGTCTAGTAATTTTTACCTACTTCCCAAGAGTGTGTTTAGGATTAACAAGTGTTTGGAAAGACTGTCCCTTTGCACAAAGGTACTATGTAACTGAAAAATGGTGAATTATTTACCATAATGAAAGTTAGCTAATTGGGGTGGGAAGGGACTGGAAGCTGAGGAAACAAAAGAGAACTTATTCCACTTTCTGAACACAAGTCCCCAGTTTAAACCAAGGAAGGGAAGAGGTGACAGGAAGCTATTTGGCAATATTTTGTTTCTGCTTAGAATATTAATCAAAAGAAGTCATTAAAAAAAGTCTTCATTTCTGACTATAAAGAGTAGGGCAAACAGTGCAGTCCAGGCAGAAGAGCGTGCAGGGTGTGGGTAGCCTGGGTTTTGTTTGTCAGCTTAACCCTAGAGGCACACACCCTTGTCAATGGAGGCATTATATGGGAGTTAAAGGATCTTCCATCTTTAAAGGTCTATAATTACATTCTTCCTTTTTTTTTTCTTAAGAACTTCTAAAAGTAAAACAAAGTATTCATTGTAGGAAGTTTGCAAATTATATAGAAGTCATCTGTAAATATCTCCTCCCCATGAACATTACTCAGAGATAGCTGGTGACATTTTAATGTTTATTCTTCTATCTTATCTATTTACTATTTTTCAGAATGAAATCATTGTATACATAGTCTCTTAAAACATTTTTTTTTTCACTTTGCAGACTGCCATGAGCATTTTCCCATGTCATTAAATTCCTTTTTATAACACTACTTTTAATAGCTACACTGCATTCCTTTATATATTATTTCATCAATTCCCTATTGTTAGAAGTTTGGTATATATACAGTTTTTGCTATTGTAAGTGATGCTGGGCATGAAAAACCCTATATGTAAATATTGTGAACATCATTGATTATTCAGTAGAATTATTGTTCAAAAGATATGAAATTTTTTTAACACACTGCTTAATTGTTCTCCAGAAAAATGTATGTCTCTTATGCTTTAACCAGCACTGATGCTTATGAGAGTGTACATTTCTCTGTACCCTTGCTAATATTGGATACAAGATACAGTTAATATTTAATACTAACACTTAAATGAATAAAATAAATATATTTAATCTTTGCCAACAAAAAAATTTATTTTTGTTGTTTTAGCTTAAAATTCTTTCATTTCTGCAAATGCTAAGTATTTTATGTAGTTGTAAAATTAGGATTTACTGTTTGGAATAGGCGATCCATATAATTTTTTCATTTAAAAATTTTAATGTTTGCCTTTTCCTTACTGATTATTTACAGATTTTATATATATGTATACACACACACACATATACTATATAGTGTATGTATTTGTGTATGTAGTATGTATACAATATATATATTGTGTATATATATTCCTTATATATACAATGTGAAATATATTATTATTTTGTGATCCACTAGTATAAAATATATTCTTTCCCAGTTATCCTATTGGATGTGTAAACTTTTAAATATGTAAATAGGACTCTTTCTCAATTTTTTTCTTTAAAATATTTTCCTTTGCTTTTATACCACAATGGTTTTTGCTCTATGGAAATCTTCACTGATAGATCTTCCATTTTTAACAGAGAAATATATTTGGATTTTCATGTATGTATTTTAAAGTGTTGACAATGTGTTACTTTGACACTATAAGACCTAAATAGATATTACTGCAGACTGGATTCTACCTGAGATCTGTTAGACAAACCTAACAGGTACATCAATAACAGGCATGTAGCTAAAATCAAAAGATGTTTGATCATCACAGTGTACTGCCCTGGGTTTAATTGGAATATATGTAAGTCTACAGAATTACAGGTACTTCTGCTTCACTATTATTTTTCCAGGTATCTAGGGAGGAACTAAAATTCCAAGTAGTGTTAATACATAACAATTATTTTGTTCTTTTTCCAAAGATTAGTTCCAATATATTCCAAATTAAATTGTGTGTGTGTGTGTGTGTGTGTGTGTGTGTGTGTGAGTGTGTGTGTGTATGTATATGAGAGGTAAAATATTGAAACAATATTACTTGACAGAATTAAAATGTTGATACTTTTAATTCTCTTTCTCTCTTTCTTGAAATGGTTGTGTGGGGGGGCAGGGGTAGGTGGGAAGAGGAGTAGGCAGGAGGAATAAGGGAAGGAAAGTCAGTCCTTTTCCAGAGTTGAATGTACTACTCACTGAACTGAACCGCTTGGTCACATGCAACACCCCTCGCCATGGTGGGCAATAGCTGACAAATTAGCCAGCTTTCAGGGCAGGTTAACAAAGTTGCTTCTCTAAGTTACTGTTCTTCATGCCTCACAGAATTAAGCTACCATGAATAGATTGTAGGTGAATTAAATCAAGTTAATTATTTCTCATGCCATTTAAGCAAACTTGGAGCTCAAAAAGGAAAACAGAGAATCTTTGAGACTTACAAAGTAAGTTACAAACTCAAAGGGAAAAGATTGTGAAGTTTTTGCAGTACTCGAGATTTGGCTTAAATGTCCACCCAGGCAAAATTTAGAGACATTAACTTTGAGGATCTCTATTCCCAGGTTTCTTTTCTTCAGGCAACTAATGCCTTTTTATTGCCTCCAGGCTGCTTGGAGAGTGGCCCTCTATCAACTTCACTACAAAAAACTGAGCGAAGCGGACTTTTTTATAGACTGTGTCAGATAATTAAGGACTCAGGCATACATTGTTCTATTTCATGTAACCCCAGCCTGAGAGAAGGGAGGAATTTCATAACTGAATCTTACCAAGTCAGAAACTAGCATAATAACTAGGTTACTTCTCAGGTTTGCTACATTTTAACAAAGTACTCCTAGAAAAGTTAAAAGGCGTAAAATGTTGGTGTGATTCAGTTTTTCTTTATAATCACTAAAATGGTGTCTCCTATGCTACAAAACTTCCCCTTGGGTTTGTTTGTCTTTTTAAAGTGCTGTGTTTCTCATTGTCCCTAATCTTTCTGACTCCATAATTTATATTCTGGAAAAGGAGTTGTTTTATTTCTTTATACAAGTATTTATGTCAGAATCTTGTGAAGTTACTGTCTCAGTCAGCTTGGGCTACTATAACAAAATATCACAAACCAGGTGGTTTAAACATCAGACATTTATTTATTTATCTAATAAAAAATTTTTTATTAAGGTATTATTGGTATACACTCTTATGAAGGTTTCACATGAAAAAACAATGTGGTTACAACATTCACCCATACCCCATTGCAGTCACTATCCTAAATGTAGTAAGATGCCACAGAGTCACTATTTGCCTTCTCTGTGCTACACTGTCTTCCCCATAATCCCCCCTACACCATGTGCACCAGTCATAATACCCCTCAATCCCCTTCTCCCTCCTTCCTCACCCACCCTCCCACACCCCTCCCCTTTCATAACCACTAGTCCCTTCTTGGAGTCTGTGAGTCTGCTGCTATTTTGTTCCTTCAGTTTTGCTTCATTGTTATACTTCACAAATGAGGGAAATCATTTGGTACTTGTCTTTCTGCACCTGGCTTATTTCACTAAGCATATTACCTTCCAGCTCCACCCATGTTGTTGCAAATGGTAGGATTTCTTTCTTTCTTATGGGTGAATAGTATTCCATTGTGTGTATGTACCACATCTTCTTTATTCATTCATCTACTGATGGACACTTAGGTTGCTTCCATATCTAGGCTATTGTAAACAGTGCTACAATAAACATAGGGGTGCATATGTCTTTTTGAATCTGAGAAATTATATTCTTTGGGTAAATTACTAAGAGTGGAATTGCTGGGTCAAATGGTATTTCTATTTTTAGTTTTTTGAGGAACCTCCATATTGCTTCCATGATGATTGAACTAGTTTACATTCCCACCAGCAGTGTAGGAGGGTTCCCCTTTCTCTACATCCTCTCCAGCATTTGTCGTTCTTAGTCTTTTTGATACTGGCCATCCTAACTGGTGTGAGGTCATATCTCATTGTGGTTTTTATTTGCATTTTCCTGATAATTAGCGATGTGGAACATCTTTTCATGTACCTGTAGGCCATCTGAATTTCTTCTTTGGAGAATTGAACAGACATTTGTTTTTCACAGTTCTGGATGCTGTGAAAGTATAAGATTGAGGTGCCAGCCAGTTTGGTTCCTGGTGAAAATTCTGGCTTGCAGGTGGCCATCTTTCTGTTGTAGGTCTTCCCATGGCAGAGAGAGTGAGGTAGCTAGCTCCCTGTGTCTTCTGAGGTGACTGATCCCATATGAAGATTCCAGTCCCAGAACCTCTTCTAAAGCTAATTACCTCCAAAGGCTTCCTTCTCCTATTACTGTCACAGATTCAATTCATAGAGTTTCAACCTATGAATTTTTGGAGGACACAAATATTCAATCCATGACAATTATCCTCTAAATTTATCAGTATTTGGTAAAACTGAGCTTCTGAAAAAAAATGATGAAGTAACTGGCAATGAGTCAATCCCACCTCCTTCCAGCCATATAATTCTGCTCTTCCCCTCTCTGAATACTGTTTGCTATGTGACTTTCACTCTTGCATAAACCTCTTCATGGAGAGACCAAGAAATGAAATCCCTTCAGTGAGCATGAGTGGACAAAATAAAGACTAGATAGTGTCAAAACCTCTATCCTAGCAGTGACACCATCATTACAATTTATCTGGTGATTGCATACATTTTTATACTTTTTGACTTCACTTTTCTCATATTAGTGTTTCTATTATTGCTCATAATCATTTATATGGCATATTTACTCTCTGAATTAGGTTTTTTTCACTTAAGATTGTCTAACACGATGTTAAAGAATGTAAAACCAGTTCTATATGGTGCCTTTGTGTAAATAGCATGTTGTCTTCATCAGACCCTGTGATGGGAAAGAGGAAAACTGACACGATATGATTTTGTTAAACAAGACTATCTGTCCAAAACTGTTTTAATGATTATAAAATTTTCCTTTCTTAGGAGCCTATATATAATAAATATTTGAGAATATATACTGAATATATGAAAATATTCGGGGTAATAAGGATGTTTGTAGTATAATTTGCACGTTGTTAGATAAGACTTTTTTTCTTGCAGTGTACAACCTCAGCAACCATATGCTGTGGCCCTGCTCCTTTTAGAGAGTGCTGAATCGTCCTACCTCATAAAGCATTCTTTACTTACATAGCTAACTGAGGAACTGATACTCTCCTTTCATACAATCTTAAGAAACTGCTTTGTTTATAAGGAAGCAGAGAGCAGAAGACTAAGTGAGTTCATTGTAACATTCTTCTGTAGTAGAATGCGCAGATTTTATTCACTGGGATCTGCAAATTCTTGAGATGTAAAATTGCCAGTCCACCTGGATGAAGGAGGACTTATGTCCTGGGAACTCTACCACAGATATGCAGACATAACTTTTCACTGTAAAATCAGAATAGCCATTGGGATATTGATATTTTGTATAGATCAAAATCAGAGTAAGTAATAATTATTGAATGTTATATTATTTAATTTAATCCATGTAACAATTCTATCTGTTAGGTTGTTGTCTGCCTTATAAATATTCTATTTAATGCTAAGAACCACTTTACCAGTTAGGTTGTTGCCTTTTTATTTTTTATAATGTATTCTTCCTTACATCCCTAACAAAAACTATTAGGTCAGCACCTGAGTGGTAAGGAATCCATGGCTGTTCAGGCGGGAAGAAACTGGACTTTTTCTATGAATCTCAGTGGTTTTGTAGATTTCCAGCTTTTTTAGTAAACACTTGCCCATCTCCTGGGTAGAGTCAATCCAGAATAAAAGTATGCTACAGCCTAGTGTTTTCTCAGGGGTCTTTGGGTCCAGGAATCGTGAAGCAATGGTTAAGAAATTATTTCCAAAAATTCTGGGAAAATTAAGGAACCACTTATAGGAGTTAAATAGAAAATAATATGTAATAACAAGAATGACTACTCTGAAAAATTGAGAGTTTTTATTTGCAAGTAACTCAGGGATAAAATTAAAACTAAGTTATAAAGATAATGAGGAGGTAAAATAATACTTTTAGGCCTAAGCCTATGCAAAACTAGAGGAAATGTAAAAAATCTCTTAAAAAATTTGACTTGGTATAAAAAAATATTCATGGGAAAAACAGAAGGCATTCTTGGAATAGCCAGGAATTAAGCTGAGTCTTAAGGGCTCCATAACATTGAAAACAATAGAAATAAAGTGGTAGGGAATTCCAGCCAATAAAAATGGAATACATATATACAGAGAAATATACATCTGCCTTCAGTGTTTTGTTCAGTGTAGCTGAGATAGTTGATGTTGCAAACAAATCTATATGAGATAGACCATGTAGGGACATCAGCACACGATGGGTTATGTTTTTAGGTGATTCTTGAAAGAATCTCATTCATATTCTGTTATATCTATTCTCTAGGCCCCATTGAGGACCATTATGGAGATGGGCTAAGTCAGATGTTTAAACTTTTCTCGCAAATCTTATCCATTTTGTTCTTATTTTTGATGGTTTATCTACTAAGAAAACAGGTAGAATGAATGATAACCTTTCAGAACTCTAAACCATATGCTAATGCTTGTATTTTTTATGCCCAATAGACAGAATGTGCAAATTTCATCCGAGTACTTCAACCCTATAACAAGACTCACATTTATGTGTGTGGAACTGGAGCATTTCATCCAATATGTGGATATATTGATCTTGGAGTCTACAAGGAGGTAATATAATGAAATAGTATGAAAACAATTTATTATAATACCTTGTTACTTAATATCTATGCTATAAAACTGGCAGATTTAAATATAAAGATTGAATCATATAGTTTATGAACTGTATAAGAACTCATATTTCCAATCACTTGTGGATTGCAGTTTTAATTAAACACTTACCTAGTAAAATTTTTTTCTATTAAAGGTTTTTTTTTTTTTGGTGAGTTGATCAAATTAGTGTAAAATGTTGAAAGTACTTGTTTTCTATGGGCTCTTTTTTTTTTTTGAGGTTCCTTTATAACTAAATCTGTATAGTATGTTGCTGTTGGTAAAAATCCATTTCCCATAGGATCTTGCAATGTAATTGTATCTTATAAATAATACCATTCTTCTCATTCAATAAATTTGACTCTTTCCATATGTTTATAATAGTAGACACTGAGTACAGATAATTTTAATGATTTTCTTAAAATTGTATAGACAGTAGCTCACTGAGCTCATTATTTCTGCAGGACCAAATTGACATAGTGAAAGTAAAGGGTATATTAATTAGGACTAGTGTATTCCAGTTATCAATGAGCATTTTCATAAATGAGATACATGCAGATTTCAGTAATTCAGTTAATAGCTAATATTTTAGAGTGCTTTCTTTGTGTCATGGTCTGTGCCAGGCACATTACATAGATTGTTGCTTTATAACTCACTATACTCTTAATGAAGTTAGCACCTTTGTAACTGCCAATATACAAGTTAGTAAAAATTCATTATGGAGTTAAGTGGCATGCCTAAAATCACCCAACTAATAAATAGTCTAGCAAGGAATTGAACCAAAGCAGCCTATTTCTAGAGCAAGCATGTCTAGTTGCGTTTTGAAAATGTACTCTAAATTGTTTGTTTCTTTGGGCTGAAGGGTTGCACTTTCATCCTTAGGTTTATGAATGTACTTCTTGTGAATAACCACACATTTTTGCAGGTTAATTGGCAGTGTGTTTGAAAGTAAAGTCTGGGTTTACGGAACAGGTTTCTTTACATTGATTTAACTGATTTATGCAGAGATCAAACCCACCACTGTGGCTGGATTAATTTTTCTCTCTAATCAACTTGTCTAACTAACCCAGACTCAACTGTTTAGAAACAAAGCAACCCTCATAGTTAAATCTCTGAACCACTAGGAGACTTGGCAACTTGAATCCATCATTCTTTGTTGCTGGTGTAACGTCCTCTTGCCTAGCTTTGATGAAGAGTGATATACAACACTAGGCTCATGGCATAGGGTGTATTCATAAGAGATAGCCCCACAGCCTGGATGTATTCTGAGGTCTGAGGCTAAAGGCCAAACTCACAACTTGCTGAAGGATGCAAAAAGTGTTCTTTAGCCCCTAAAAGTCACAAGTGCTGAAAGGGAAGTTAGATGGAGCTAATTACTTAGCTTGGGACTGACAAGAAGCCCTGGGGCTGTCAAATTTACAAGTTCTGTGAATAAGAGAATTATGAGTGAACAGGGGTATTGAATCTTGTGAGTTTTCTGCTAGTTAGGAGTATAGGTAATTGTATGGTAGCCCTGCCTGAAGAATGTTAACTTCTAAAATAAATTTTTAGTCCCAAGAATCCATTGTTCTTCCAGAGGGAATTTAGAAGGCCCTTCCACTTTCAGATAGATAAGGTTGCTCCTAAAGTGGCTGGGAAGAGGGAATAGCAGTAGATAAAAGGGATGGAAGATCGAGGAGTGGGGAAGAGAGGGGTCTCTCCTTTGTGGAGACCACCGTTCAGTGTGGCTGAGGTAATGGGAAGGAGGTAGAAGAAACCGAAATGAATCTCAAAGTTCTGTCTTTGGCAGTGAGTTGGAGAATGGTGTTATTTATTCAGGTAAGAATAGTAATAAGTTTATGGGGAAAATGGTGAGGTATATTCTGCATTTGAGAAATGTTTAGTAGGTCATGCCAAGTGGGCAATGGATCTGGATTTTAGGACAGAAGTCGGGGCTTTTGTCCACATCTGGTAGTCTGAGCATGGGGAGCTAGAGTTTGAGTTATAGCTTCAGTCTTAACCAGTTCTGTGGGCTTATGCACACTGCATAAACTTTCCAAGCTTCTGTTTATTCAGCAAAATGCTGATGATAATAATAGTAACTACCTCACAGGGTTATTTTGAGGATGAGAAAATGACTGTATAGGCTTTGGCACAACACTTGCTTCATTCAAGTCCATTAATAGTCATACTAAGCAATAGGAACATAGAAAGGTAAAGAGGCAAAGGTTTTAAAAATACGTATATAAAAATCATATCTGCAACGTATGCATATTTATATACACACTGAAATACAGGTAGTGTCTGATACTTGTTTCATAATTAGACTGAATGTATGTTTTCTTTCCTCTGAGATGATACTAATAACAACTTTATCTAGTTACACGATTAAATGTTTTCTATCATTCTGTTTGCCTACTTCAACACTACTTCTCTGTGTGCAGCTTAGATAGGTGCTTTCTTGCATACTTAATTAGGCTAAAGGAATTTAATAGGAAAAACAAAGTTGAAGTTGTCTTAAAGTTAGTGTCATGTTTATCTCTGGAAGTCCATTTAATCAGCCATTATTTTTTACATCATTGTCCTGTTGGTGTCCTTAATTCTGATTTATGAAACTTGCTTTCCTACTATCTCCTTTCTACAGGAGATTATAAGGGAGACCTTGTCTTCAGCCTCCACAAATAGCAATTTTATGGGTGTATCTTGAGAATTTTTAATGAAATGTGCATTTTGAAAACAGAAAAATGGCACAACTATAAGGGGTTATCTAGTACTTTGCTTCAACTATGACGTTCTCCCAGATATTTTCTTGGTTTTTCTTTTGTATCTTTTACTGTAATCTTCTGGTGCACCAGGATTCAGTTTACTTTCTCCCTTTACAATATCCCATTATAGGCTTTAGAGCCAACAGTTCTGTTTGACCTATGGAGAATCATGTGCCCTTAATGATATTTAAGCATACCTAAGAGCCATTATCTATAGATGTGTTCTCCTCTAGCCCCATGCACAGCCGGGAAGCATGCCCCAAATGTGTTCTTGCTAGGCTTCTTGCATGCCGAGGCTACACTATCACAACTTGTCATTAGCCTGGGCTTGTTCTAACTAAACATACTTGGGCTTGATCATGTTACATGGTCATGGTGAGTCTATACATTGCTTTCAACACAGTTGTAAATCCATAAGTTTGAAATTCTGTGACTAGATTAGCTAAGTGCATGAACTTAGGAGACAGCCCTGGTTCAGCTACTAGCTGTGTGATGCTAAATGGGTACTTAACCCTTTCTATCTGCAATATTCCTCTTGTAAAGCTGCAGTTCTTAAAATAGCTATAACTTTAGGCTAATGCTGAGGATTCAGTGAAGCAATGTCCATAATATTCCTGGCTCATGGTTAGTACCTATTAAGTATTAGGTACCATTGCTGTTAATATCAAAGCACATTTACATAAAACTATGAAATATTAGTTGTTAACCATGCTATTTAAATCATTATTACTATTTTTTGCTAAGGCAGTAGTTACTATTGGTCCAGTTCAAAAGAAAAAAGATCTGAAATGACAGTGCAGTACAACAAATAATCTGATTTTCTCCATCCTTTCTACTTTACTGCTTGCTTTCTACATAAGTATACATGCTTTAATATAACTTTCTAGATACGCCATGTAGAGAGAATGTCTGACATGCTGAATTTCTCTAACCAGTGCATATGCAGGGTGAGTCATCAGCCTTTCTGCTGGATGGCGATGTTGTCATTGTTATGAAACACAAGCTCATGGGACCATATTCATTATACATTCATATTTTTCTTGGAAAGTTCAACTTGAGATGTTATTTTTTCCTGAATATTAAAAGTCTGCCAATGACATTCTGTCTGCGGCCACTATTGTAAAAATAGATGTTTCAGCCAAAATAACTGTGGCTTTAATGCATACAGTGTTTTCATAATAGTGAAAATGCTACAACATGATTTCTTTTTGCCCACATGTATCGACAGCTCTAAAAATGAGCAGCCTGGCCTTAGAACACTTTCATGTCACTAAAATCACAAAATGTCACAAGGCTTAAGTAATTTGGTAAAGTGGTAAATGCTTAAGTAAACAGGCCATAATAGTTCTGAAAGTATAATTATTTACAGCAAATTTATTTTTTAGCTGAGGAAATCAGCTTATTTGGGCCAGCGAATTAGTTAGTAGGCTTAAGAAATGTGTGGTTGATGGTGATATTGATAACAGTGGTTCAGCCTAAATGAATTGATGATTATGTTACCACTTGCTATTGAAAAACTCATTCAGTATTATCATTACTACTTTGGGCAAATGTAAATCAAAACATGGAGGTTTGGCAGAAATACTGTTTACTAGTGAGTTAAGGAGTGCTTTCACTGATGTACATGCTATGTGCTCAGTTTTTATTGAATTAATCAGTTAGAATTGAGTTCTCATCTCCTGTGTTCTTGCTAATTTTGATATTTTAAAAAATTCATTTGTGTTAATATTTCTCATAACAGGAAGTTATGTTCAAACTAGACACACATAATTTGGAGTCTGGCAGACTGAAATGTCCTTTTGATCCTCAGCAGCCTTTTGCTTCAGTGATGACAGGTACGATCAATGACAGGCAGTTTCTGCTTTTAGGTGATTTTCTGAAAAGGTATGTCTAAAGTAAACCACATTTTCCTTGAGTTAAGGATTATTTTGGATTAGTCTTCTACTAAATATTTGATTATAGTATTTTATTGCCAAATCGCTCTATATTTAGCATCCTTATCAATAAGGTGAGGCCCCAACAATCTTTGATGTCTGCACAATTACTTTTTAAATGAATTCTTTTTAATGCAAATGACCCATGCTCACTTTTTCTATGATTTTACATTTAGATGTCTCAGGTTTTATTATACTAAACTATGTCCCGATTTGGCTTACTATAGAAGTTAAATTTAACAATTCCTTAAACATAATATATCAGAAAGTATGTTAAAAATTTGAGTGGAAGGATTAGTTATAAGACACAATACATAAAATAGTATAAAAATGAATCAAATTATAGAACACAGATAATAGAACCTTTCCCCCCAATTTTACCATAACCTGATTATATTAATGGAAATCTGGAACTTTTGCTAGCATATTCAGTCTTCCCTTTGCTTTGTCTACATCTTACATTCCCTTATGAGGTGGCTATCCTGTTTAAAGAAGGCAGTACTGTGTGGTCTGAAGCCTGTTCTGAGGAATGTTGGCATGACCTCTGAATTTCAACCATTATAAGGACTCCTTTTGTCTTGGTTTTGTTCATGACTTTAGTCTCTTTTTGTTTAACTTGTCCATCAAATGTTTGAATAGGCGATAAGAGTGAAGCACCATGACATTTTAATTTTCACTTAGAGAGAACTAGTGATCTTCCTTTGAAGTGAAAGCATGTGTGTTTTTGTGTGTTTTGAAAATTATATGACTAATGTTCACTCATTATCCTCAGAAAATGAGGTAGATGATTTGTGATTCTGATCTGTCAAGTGGGCTTGACACACCCTTAATAAAAAAATAATAGATTGTAGGCATTGGTGACCCCTCTTAGGAATCCCTAAGTAATTCAAATACAAAAAAGACAGACAGTTTTAAAGCCTGGATATACAAATCCAATTTTTAGGCTGAAACATACCATTTTTTTCTGACAAAACACCCAAATATCCACATTTTTTATGTCTCAAGCTAATGCTCCTTTCCTTTGTTCTTACCAAACTTTTTTAAACAATGTCTTTATTGATGTTATTTTTGTTCTTCTATTTTTAAACCTTTGCTCCACAATGAAGTATTGCCATTTACCATGTATTTGAGGGGAATGCTTTAAGAGTTGGAAGTGGTACCATATCTATCTACATTTACTTTACATGCTGGATTTCTCTCTTTTGTGTTTTGTTTTATTTTTTCCTTTGGATTGAGTATTATCATTGTTTAGGTTGTTTGTCTCAAATAGTTCAGTAAAAGGCTTACTTAAACTTACTTAATTACTTACTTAATTAATTACTTACTTAAACTTAATTAATTACTGCTTAGTTTAGTAGAATGCTTATAATCAGAGATTTAGAAAGCATCTGAATTCTTTACACAAAGGCAGAATTTTAAAGATCAGTTTCTGAGGAAAATTGGATTTCAGTGATAAAACTGTCTATAGCTGTTCATATATTTAGGCATTTAAAGAATCTAAGTGCTCTGTAGAGATTAGCCATTTTTTGTTTTGGTCTATTAAGTAAAGCCCAAAATAGTTGACTATAAAGATTTCTTGAAATAGAGGGCTTAGCTCTCGAAGGGGCAACATATTCTACTGTAGGGACAGCATTCTTTTCTGCCCCACCCCCACCCCATGTGCTGACTAGCATTAGGGAACATTGACCCCTGCTTCCCTCTTCCCCCCCAATCCTTTTCTCTCCCCCTTCTCTCCCCACTCCAAGCTTTTGTCTCCCTTCTTTCCTTCGTCCCTCCTCTCCCCCTCATCTTCCTCCTTCCCTTCTTCCTGTTTTCCCACTCCTTTTCTTTCTGCACCCCCTCCTCTCTCTCCTGCCGTCTTGTCCCCTCCTGTCTCCTAAAACATGGATATGCACTATACATAATTAACAGGACTTAGAAATTTGGTATGCAGTAATGGCAACATCTTTCCCTTTTCAGGAATTCCTGTTTATCAGAACTATTAGAGACATGATTAGCTACAAGGAATGCAACATGTTATAATTACGAAGAATGACTTCAGTGCTGAAAGCTGCCTTTCAGCAGAGGTTAGACAGAGAGGAGTTGTGGTCATTGAGGTTGTGTTGGTTAAGTAAATACTAATTACACAATCCATTTTTCATTACACATTTACTTTTTTAATATTTTTTTGTGTGTGTATGTGTGTGTTGCTACAAAGAAGACCTAATTATGATATATGTTTGATTTGTGAGGAGAAGGGGAAAGAAGAGCTCATTCACAGGCGAAGCTAATGTATGTGCAATTATTAATTCAAAAGGCTTTGGTCTTTTTTATATCCAAGTCTCTAGCATCACTTACCAGAGTTTATTGAGTTATCTTATCTTCAACTATGCATTTTTTTCAAAATCTGACAGTGAAAATTGTGAAACAGTATATTCTGATGTAAAGCAATAAATATCTTCAGTTTCATGCTGTAAAATTAGTATCTTATAAATTATAAATCTGCTGCTATCCTCTTAGAAGTCTTGCGTATTCTTTTCTCCCTCCCAGATGAGTACCTCTACTCTGGAACAGCTTCTGATTTCCTTGGCAAAGATACTGCATTCACGCGGTCCCTTGGGCCTACTCATGACCACCATTACATCAGGACTGACATTTCTGAGCACTACTGGCTCAATGGTTAGTGACTTTCTTACTTTTGATTGTTTTGTCTTTGCTTGGCGAGATAAGAAACTCATTGTTATTCATTCAAATGTGTTTTAGGATAAATGATTTAGCTCATCATTATAAAATACAGTTGGAATAATTCCCCAGTAAGTTTAACAAATCTCCAGAACCTGTTGAGTATATAATATTAGCCAGCATTTACTGAGAGTGTGCTATTGTCCTTGACACTGTACTATGCTCGAATTGCTTTTTTAAATATTAATGATGGCATAGGAAGTGTATGTTATTATTATGTGATTTTTTAAAGATAAGTAAACTGAGCCACAGAGAAGTTGAGTAATCTGGTCAAGATCTTAAAACTTGTCTGTTGAAGAGCTGGGTCAAGTTGGCAATCTTTCTCCTATAACGTTTTTTAATAACTAAGCCAAATACTGTCTATGAGCTTAATAGAAAGAGGTTAGATTGTAATGGAAACAGTTTTTGTTTAAAGATGGCTTGTGTTTGGGTTAAGACATGGCCCTCCAAAGTTTTAAGTATATTGATACTGACATTATTTTGATCACTTTTTGTTTAAGGGTTATACAATATTCCAAGTTAAAAAAAACAAAAAACAAAGCTTCCTAACTGAATTTATTTAATTTAAAGAACAATGCAAGGCTTCCCTTTTTTTTTTCTCCACTGCCTTATAACAGATCAAGTTTTATCATGATTTTCTAATGCTTTCTAATTAACATAGGACTTTATTCTACTGCTTGGCAGAATAACATGACACTGCTATTAAATCATTCAAACTGTATTTCTCATTCCCACCATAAATAATGCACTTTAGTGGAGGAGACCTGTTCCTATGGGCTCTCTCTCTATCTCTTAGTATCATTTAGGCAGTGACAACATAAACAAATGGGAAAAAACATTTCTAAAACATTTCTTTAGTCAAAACGTCCAGATCCATTTGTTTAGACAACAATGTGATCTCCCGTGACCAAAAGAGAACCCTATTGATAGGGCAAAACAAATTTTTAACAGCCCCTACTAGGTGATTACTCATTCATTTCTTAACACATGCAAGGCAAAGTATCTTGAGCATTGTGAGGTTTTTGCGGAAATAGTTGGTTTGAGAATGACTCCGTAGATTTCACCAATGAAAATCATAGTTATCTGTTTAGGTAACAAGATAAAATATATGTATGGCTTTAAAATGAAGTATAGATTCTATTTCCCAAATGTGGGTAAAATTGCAATATTTCCAGAATCTGTCACCTGGCTTTAGTGTATCTGCATATCAATAGATGTTTCAGGATGTGGAGAGAAGTGGTTCATCTACATGTCAGTAGGTAATTACAAGGGTGTGCAGGGTTTAGTTGGACCAGAGAGGTTGGGTGGAGCTCTCTGCTGCTGCATCCTGGTCAAGAGAGAGATGGGACAACAGCTTGTAAGAAATAAACGGATTCCTTAAACTTTATTTCTCCCTTTGATGGATTTCAGTTTCAGAGGTATTTTGCCCCAGGGATTTTCCTTCAGAACTACACCAAACTTAGGATGGCAAATAGCATACTTCAGAGATGATTCTGTTTTTTCCTTAACTGTAACATGTCCATAAAGAAGTCTACAGCCTTGTTAAAGAAATAAATGTAGGAAATATTTATTCAACTATTATTTGCTGAGCATGTTTTTAGAAAATTGCAAAGCAGGAAGTCTTGAGTTGGTTTAACATTCTCATAATAAACAACTTCTGAGGGCCTATGGCATACTGAATGCTGTTCCATCCACTGGGCCTGCAAATTGCACGGGACTGCTGACCTCAGGGATGACAGATGTCTGAAGCATAACAAGACAGTAATGGGAGATGGGGCTTTTTGCTATAAATGTTATCCTGAAACCAATGGGAAATTATCTGCAGTGTAATTCTTTTTTTTCCTTAACTCTTTTTTGAGGTATAATTGAAATATAACATTGCTGACCTCAGGGATGACAGATGTCTGAAGCATAACAAGACAGTAATGGGAGATGGGGCTTTTTGCTATAAATGTTATCCTGAAACCAATGGGAAATTATCTGCAGTGTAATTCTTTTTTTTCCTTAACTCTTTTTTGAGGTATAATTGAAATATAACATATTAGTTTTGGGTGTACACCATAATGGTTCAGTATTTGTATATATTGCAAAATGATCATCACAATAAATCTAGTTAACAACTGTGTAACTTAGGGGGAAAATCCCAGGGCAAATTACCTTTGAAACTGAAATCAGTCAAAGGGAGAAATAAAGTGGGAGAAAGCTGTTTATTGCTTACAAACAGTTGCCCACTTCTGCTCTCTCATGTCTCTTGTGACCCTGCTGCAGAAAAAGGGGCCCCACCCAACCTCTCCAGTCCAGTTATGCCCTCCCTTATCCTTGTAATTACCTGTTGGTATGATGATGGACTATTCTCTCCACCCATTGGCAACCTATTAATATGGAGGTGCACTAAGGCCAGGTGAGAGATTATGGAAATATTGTAATTTTACCCACAGACTGTCACCATACATAGTTACACATTTTTTTCTTGTGTTAAGAACTTTTAAGATCTCTCTTAGCAGCTTTCAAATATGCAATATGATATTATTAACTATAGTCACCATGTTGTACATTACATCCCCATGACTTACTGCATTTATAATTGAAGTTTGTGCCTTTTAGGTCCCTCCTTCACCCATACCCTGATCTTAATCAGGGAATCAGATCTTAGTTTTTTATAAAGGTAACTGATAATTGCATATGAAGGAAAGATTAAAAGATAATGAGGACACAGAAAGAAGAGTCCATTGCAAGAAAACAGGAAAATGAGACTGGGACAGGAACAAAGGCAGTGACAACAGATGTGAACATGGAAATATACAGTACCAAAATGGTAGTTAGTTTGGGAATAGAAAAATCCAAGGATATGAGGGAGAAATTTAAGAGAAGATTTTGGATACTAGGAAAACTTTGCAATTAAAGAAGTCAGTAGGAAGGAAGGAAGGAGAAAGTATATACAGTAGAGAAATCTCAACAGATTGAAGACTGCAAATTATATAAGAATTTGGACATTTATGGTTTTACAACATTCAGGGCAGACTGCCTGTGGTTAGTAGCTGGGGGACCATGGAACCTGATTTGCCCTGCACTTTTCCACTTTTGCTCTATTTTTCTTTAATTCTCAAAAATATCCTAGTTTAGGCAAAAATTATAGCTCTGTTTCTGTGGAACTTAATTACCTAGGTTTAAATTCTGCCACTGATTCGTGACCTTGGTCAAACCTTTCTGTGTGTCCAATTTAATTCGGTGTACTAATAATTTATATTCACAGGTTGTTGTAAGGATTAATTAGATCATATAAGGAAGTCTGTTAGAAGACAATTTTAAGAGCAGTTCAGTGTTAGTATTATAATCACCATCATTATTATTATTATTCCTGAAGGTGAGAAAGGTAGGAGGTGGGACTAACACACTGAATGCTCTGATTCTCTGATATCTATAGCATTTTAAATTATTGGCCATCCTTTCCTTCTCTTTCCCCAAATTTCATAATTCTGTGAGCTCATCCATTCTAATAGTTTCAACTGTTCCCTGTGTTCTAGTGTTTCCTACAACTGCATTTCCAACCTTTTCCTGTAACTGAATGCCTTTAAAAATATTTAAGTGAATGTCTTTCATTTTCATCTTAGATTAAAAGAAACTGGTAGTTTAATATGGGAATAAAGATATTTAAGCCTTAGTCTTATTGTGCCACTAACGTGCTCTGAGATTTTTACAAGTTGTTTGGTGATCCCTTTCTTGACTTTCTTCAAATATATACAGATACAGATATAGATATAAATAGATAAGACTAATTAGATTTAAAATTTTAAATCCCTTGAGTCTAACTTAAATTTATCTTGATTTCCCTTTTTACCCTGCCCTTCAATACCAGTTTCCTGACTTTTATCTATCATAACTTTCTTAACTTTGTGCACCCAGTTATCTTGAAGTTTCCTCTCCTTCATCCTCTTTATCTAATCTATCACTAAGGGTCTTTACTTCCTTCTAAATAGTTATTGGCCTTGTTCTTTCCATGGCCACCATCTTCCTATAGGTTTTTATTACCTCATATCCCTGTCTTTTCTGCTTCAAAATTATTTTATATAGTATTCATGCTAGTTACCATGTTAGTCACTTTTAAAGTATTATTTAATTTACTGGCATAATACTGAGAGAAATGCTCATCCGCTTAACGTATGGAGGTAGATTAGAAGTCAGACATAGAGTCCATAGCAAGTGGATGTGAAATTGAAACATAGGTATGTGTTTCTTGCTCTGGACACATTTATGATGCAGTACCTCAACCTGAATTCTGCTCTTTTGGTTTCACATCCCTATTCTTGCAGCCTCACTAAAAACAGGGTCCATGTCTATATGCCGTGTTGGGCAGCAGCTAACTGAGGATGTGGGTCTGGTTGCAAGAAGTAAGGTAGATAGGTAAATAGTGGTTAGGCAAGTGATATGGAAGACCAGCTGAACTTGGGGTTAGTGTGAGCCTCAGATCAGACATTTGCTGAGGAACAGGCTGGCCATAATTGGAAGAGCACAGTGCTTCAGGAGACCTGATCAACCAGGAGCTTCTCAGTCCATGGAAGCTAGGGCACAGAAAAGGAGAAATTTGAGAAACAATATAAAATTCTTATAATAAAGAAGTACTTGACATGCTAAGGCAAAAGTTTGCCTTGTTAGGGGGCATTTTTGTCCTCCCTTTGCCAGATAGAGTCAACCTGTGCTCCAAAGATATAAGTCAGTGGTACCATCCAGCTGGAGTCAGGAGTGTGGTGTGACAAAATACCATGGTTGTTAAAGGAACTGTGGAAGTTATTGGGAATAGCTGTTATCTCAGACATTACCTTATTCAACCTCATACTCTACAAATTGAGACTCAACATAAAGAAGATATATCCAGATCTCCTAGCTGCCAACCCCATTCTTCTATTAAAAGACCAAACTTCTGACAAGAGTAGCATACC